AAGTTATTAAGCCCAACGCTGACTTTGATATGACATGATAAAATCTGATAAAAATTCACGTCCTACGGGGTCGGCAGTCACGTAGATCTAAAGAAAAATTGACATTCTTAACTCTGTTTGTAGCTCATTTAAATAGCTGATCAAACTTGCCAGCAAGCTGTCGAAAGAAAGGTTCGCATTTATTGGACGTGATAAGCTCATCTACTTTAATTTGGACGCGGTAATTAACAAGCAACTTCCTAGATCGCCCATTTTTAAATCTTTTTTGACGTGTCGGTTTTAAAGTTTTAATTAATTTAGGGTTGTCTAGCCCGATGCGAGTAGATAGTTACATCTTGTAATCATATTTTTTTCCTATCAAAGCTGATTGTCTAGAGAGACCATGTCAGCGTCACCAGGTCGGTAGGTGAGCTCACGGGGCTCAAGCCTGACGATGTTGCTAACACGAACCCTAGCAAGAGCAGTGCTTCGCAGAATCTACCACCGGATCGGAAACGCGACCCACTGAGAAGATCCGGCGAGAAACTCAGTGGGCTCTGTCTGAAGGTTAATTCACTCGCCGAGCCCTTCGTTGCAAGCGACGGGTTCGATGAGAACGATGACCGGGATTTGTAATCAATGTCAATGGAATGTTCAGAGCTCGTGTTGATAATTGACAAATTAAATAGATTGTTATTAAATGTCCAACTACCAGTATAATTTTCAATTCTCTTCCATCATAAAGTTCACGACAATACCTTTTCATACAAATCAAAAACCTATTTTCAAATTTTAATGTTTTTTTTAAAAATTCTATATTAACGACCAGGAGGAAAAAAAACCCTTATATTGATAACCTAAACATTAAACAACGTATTAAAAAATAGCTTTGATAATTGAGTTGCGGTGTGAAATCGCACTAAATGACTCCGTACGAAATAATGAACTTGTTCGACACACCTCAGTTTTATGGAAATCGATTCGTTAATAATGTAATAAAAATTCAAAAAATAAAATGTATAATTCATCATTCATCAGAAGAAGTCATGCGGCAAATATTTAAGGAACTTACCTATAAGGCAACACGGGAGCGAACGAAAAGAGCAAAAGCGCTTTTATTATGAAGGGAGGGGAATAATGAATAAATTCCGTGTAAGGGCCCACTCGTAATGCAATTGAAAACTTTTTATCAAGTGCCGGGAAATCGTGTGTAAAGGTGGACCAGGTACCTAATTACGAACGGCACCCGGATTGAATACAAGATGAGCTCCGGAATTCGAACGATGCCCCATCGCCATCCCGGGACACTTTATGAAAATCAGCACGTTAATGAAAACGTCGACTGTCGACCAACGACCCGGAAAAAAAGATTTTTAACACGACGTAATTAAATTAAACGAACTGCGCACTCTAACATAACGGCCGTCTGGTGTAGTGGTAAGTGACATGGTCACTACACAAGCGGGTCGCGGGTTCGAATCCCGCCAAGGGAAGATATTTGTATGATAAATACAAATGTCTTTTCCAGGGTTATGGATGTATATTAAATATATGTATGTGTATAACAAAAATCTTACATTTATTTCCGTTATCTGGTACCTGTAACACAAATTCTTTACGAACTTATCACGGGACCAGTTAACGAGGCGAAAAAAAAATTATTAAAAAAGAACATTAATTAAACGCTTTCCTCGATGCGTTATCAAGGAAAACTTGTAAGCCAAATGAGCGGATAATTCATCTTAAAGTTTCACGATTTCATCGCCCATTAACTTCGCGTTTTGGGAAAAAAAAATCTGTTTTTTGGTTTTTAAATTAACAAGATCCTTCCAGAGCTCGCCGTCTGTCGAGGACGCACTCATTCTTTTGTAACTCTAAAAAACAAGTCATTACCGAAGCGGGTTAAATCTAGCGCCGTTCTCCCGAGAATTTTTCGCGGGAGATCTATTATTCAGAGGCGATCGGCCACCGAGCCGCGACCGCCGTTTACGCTGAAATGATATGATTAATTACCGGCTCCAAGACTCCCTCATTAGCGTGCAAATACGAGCACTCGATGGTGAAATTGAATCACGACTCACGGCTGACGGCGCCGCCCTCAATCGGCTTCTAATTTTAATTAAATTATTAATCACTCGAATATTTTTTTAACTGCATATAGTTCGTTCAATATTTTTTTTATTGCTTAGTCGGGTAGACTAGCTCACAGTCCACCTCGTGTTAAGTGGTTACTGGAGCCCATAGACATTTACAACGTAAATGCGCCACCCACCTTGAGATATGAGTTCTAAGGTCTCGAGTATAGTTACAACGGCAGCCGCACGCTTAAAGCCGAAACGCATTACTGCTTCACGGCAGAAATAGGCAGGGCGGTGGTACCTACCCGCGCGGACTCACAAGAGGTCCTACCACCAGTAATAATAATACTGAATCACGAAATAAAACTTGTATTTGTTAGGTCGTTTTCGGTGTGTACAAATTATTCATACGGGCCAATATAATTTGCAAGCAAATGATGTGTTCGTCACACCTAGGTCCTTTTCTCTGTGCTCTTACATAAATAAAGGAGGCATCACGTCCCATAATCCACGTAACAAAGAAACGTAAACATGAATGACGTTCTCGGCTTTTGTAATATCACGTGTCGTAAAGATGAGTGACAAAATACATATTTTTTTACTTCAATACGAAGAATTGTGCGGCGGCGAAATTTTCTTCGTTAAATGTCTATTCGACCTCCTTATTAATGCCGATAAAAAAACGACGAAAAAGCAGGAAAACTTATTACGTCACTAAGACAAAAATATTTTAATTTAGAACACATTAAAAGCAGACTTAACCTAATAGGTGTATGGCTCTAATAAAGAAAAAAAAACATTAAATCTATCTATACTAATATTATAAAGAGGAAAGATTTGTTTGTTTGTTTGTTTCGAATAGGCTCCGAAACTACTGGACCGATTTGAAAAATTCTTTTTCCATTAGAAGCCGACATTGTCCCTGATGAACATAGGCTACTTTTTTTTATTTTATTTTTTTGGTTTCATGTGTGTTTTAATGTTTCCGAAGCGAAGCGAGGGCGGGTCGCTAGTTATACTAATATTATAAAGAGGAAAGATTTGTTTGTTTGTTTGTTTCGAATAGGCTCCGAAACTACTGGACCGATTTGAAAAATTCTTTTTCCATTAGAAGCCGACATTGTCCCTGATGAACATAGGCTACTTTTTTTTATTTTATTTTTTTGGTTTCATGTGTGTTTTAATGTTTCCGAAGCGAAGCGAGGGCGGGTCGCTAGTGAGCTATTAATTTTATCCCGCGTGATCCGTTTCTGGAATCAATTCTCAGGCACAGTGCCTCATAAGCACTCTATCATGTGATTCTGAAGCCAAATTTGACTCAATTGGTACGTAGCGGCTTAGCTATGGCCCCAGTATTGCTGATGTCCAAGGATAATAATAACGGTGGCCACTCACAATTAGGCAGTGGTTGTCGATTCCAAATGAAATAAAATTTGAAGCGCCTCCTCTGCGTATTTTATAAACAAATGTGGACTCTATAGACACCTGAGGCCTGCGTTTTGTTACAAGCGAATTAAAACTTAAATTGAATTATTAATCTAAAATTTTACTTTATACATAAGAAAATAGTAATAAGGTATCTATCGTCTTGGCCTAAAAGATAATACGTCCGGTATATTAGCATCGAGTGCTCCGATTAGGCCAGTATTCGAATGCCCGCAAGTTCATTTAAGTTAATGAAATACATACGTACTTAACTCATGTTCACGAGTGACTTCGTGTAATAAAAATTTAAGTCCGAAAAAGTTATAGATCCGTAATTATTATACAATTGAGACATATACCTCAAATGGGTCAAGGCATTCACGTTGTAATAATCCGTTGGTCCGATAACATCTATAAGTTTCGAAAAAAACTAAAAATCAAGTCCTTAAACCGTTTGCCTACTACATTCATAAAAAAAAATTGGACCAATTATCATTGTACATAGTAAAAGTATCAGACTTCTATTAGCGTCTAAGAAAACTTATTACATCATTTTATGAAGACAATAAATATTCTAATACTCATCTAAGTAATTGGGTCTTTCGCAAGTTTCATGTAGACAAAAGTTCTGGCAGTTTTATATCTTGGTTCTAAAGAATGCTGCTAAGGATGATATGACCTTAGTTTTATAGTCGATTCATATTTCTTATCACAACAACGCCAGACTGTTCGTTTGAAAAATAATGTTGTATTATTTTTTTATGCTGGCAATAGTTTTTTTTTTAAATTCTGATTTGACGTAGGATTTTTTTTTTAAACTATTATTATACGAAGGATTCACAGTTCAACGGCCAATAAAAATCAAAATATGACTAGCGTCACAATCATCGTGCGACATGAAATCAAACTATTGTATTAAATAACCGTTGTCCCTATTAATAACATTCAAAGTTCCAAATAGTAATGCACGCCGCATTACTACTTCGCGGCAGAAAGGGCAATACCACCACATCACGTGTAATCACATAATTATATAAAAAATTAGGGCTACTAATACATGATGTTATTTCTTCTTTTTAAATTTATGGTAGATGTTTTTAGCATGACTACGCGTTTTTTTTTTAGGTAAATTTATATTTCCTGCAGCATATAAACTCTCTTTGCAAATATAGCGTTCTTTATGTATAAACCACAGACGCTGAAAATTTTTCGAGACCTGGCAACCCTAGACACGCTCGTACTAAGTTACCCGACACTCGAATGGGAAACTTTCAGTGGATTATCTGTGATGTTCCGGATTTATGGCATCGTCGTATTGTTAAGTGTTCGCTAATATTTCTTCACTACAAACTTCGACCATTCATACTTTAAAGTTACATTTTAAAAGGTTTCTAAAGCCTTTCTTCAAGTTATTGTATAAAGTATTTTGTTAATAGAAAAGTTATTTCAGTTCGATTTTACTACGAGATAAAATCTTAACATGGTTTTTAATGTGCGATCTTAGGTGATAATAATTACCTTTGTTCTTGGTGTTTAATCTCCACAACTCATCACCCGCGTCCCCTGAGTCCACAGTCCGTTACCTAACTAGCCATATCACAAGCTTCCACCTAGCTTAACACTAAAGCCTACACTAACACAATTGACATATCAACAACGCCCGGTAACAGTCCTTAATTAATATAAAAACTCTAACATTAGTTAACATTACTAAAATAGATGTCGAAAACGACGCTCAGAATTGAGAGCGTCGTGATTATTATTGTAAGTAGGTAACTAGTCCGTTTTGTGGGTTCTTTCAGTGGACCCAGGAGGGGGTGACGGAGTAGGCAGTGCGGGGGGTTCCGCCCCCGGACAGCGTGGTGGGTACAGGAGGTGCGGGCGCAACGAACTGGCTCTCTGCTTCGGCAGCCATTGCGGTCTGCTGCTGAGGGAAATTGAAGTCTAAGGACCCGTCCATGCTGAGTTCGTGTTTTATGACCTGTCGGAGAAGAACACATTAAGAACCGTATATTTTGTGGGGTTTTTTTTGTTAGTGCTAGAGAATTAGAGGAATATAGACAAATTATTTGAGGGGCTGATGGCTGATGTTACCCTTTTACAGATACTCGAAGATACAGGGTGGCCCATAAGTCCTTTGAAAAGTAAAATTTGAATAAAACGAACAGGGCGCGCGGGAGCGGTGCAGGGGAAGCGGGGGGAGTAACTTCGGTTTCTGGGAATTTAGTCGCGATGGAGCGTTTTACCGGAGCGGACCGTGCGTTTTGTGTGCGCGAGTTTTATAAAAACGACAATTCGGCAACCGTTGCGCGGCGTAAATTTCGAGAACACAAAGGTTTACACAACTTTGACGACACTCCAACTCTTCAAACGATTAAGAACTGGGTTGCTAAGTTCGAGGAGACCGGTTCGACGTTAGATAAACCGCGGTTGGGTCGCCCAAGGACGTCACGTACGGAACAAAACATAGACACAGTGACACAGTCTATTCGCGAAAATCCGACACAGTCAACTCGTAAGCGCGCCAGAGCATTAAACGTATCCAGGACATCGTTACAACGGATTTTGAAGAAAGATTTACATATGCACCCTTACAAAATTCAGTTGGTTCAAGAATTAAAGGAAACTGACGGTATTCAAAGACAAAATTATGCGAATGAAATGTTGAATCGGTTTACTTCCTTCAATAACATAATGTTCTCTGACGAGGCTCATTTCCATCTTAACGGGCATGTTAGTAAACAAAATTGCCGCTATTGGAGCCCCATCAATCCAAAACTTAAGCATCAGAAGCCCTTACATAGTCCGAAAGTGACTGTTTGGGCCGCTATGTCAGCCCATGGTATCCTAGGGCCTTACTTCTTTGAGGATGGCAGAGGGCGCGCAGTTACTGTTACGTCGGAGCGATATGTGGCTATGATCGAAGAGTTTTTCATACCAGAATTGCAAAACTTTTCAGGCTTTAATGCCAGGACGTGGTTTCAACAGGATGGGGCCACTTCTCACACCTCTAACACTGCTATGCCCGTTATCCGTCAACTTTTTCCTGGCAAAGTTATCTCTAAGAGAGGAGACATTTCCTGGCCTCCACGTAGTCCAGATCTGACCCCGATGGATTTTTTTTTGTGGGGCTACCTTAAGGCTAAAGTATACGACACAAACCCGCGGTCAATTGAGGCCCTAAAAGAAAACATCCGCAGAGAAATGACAAGCATTTCAGCAGTGACGTGCCGCGCAGTCATCGACAATTTTAGACGTCGTTTGCAAGAGTGCCGTGATCGCAACGGATTACATTTAGGAGATGTTATTTTCAAAAAATAATTCCCGTTTTTTAAGCTTTTTATGTAAATAAAAATTTAATTCATAATGTTATTAGTTTTATTTTAATAATTTTTTTTCATATCAAAGGACTTATGGGCCACCCTGTACATATATTTTTGTGCGTGCGAAGACGCGGGCGCATTTAGTTTATACTAATATTATAAAGAGGAAAGATTTGTTTGTTTGTATTGAATAGACTCCGAAACTAATGAACCGACTTGAAAAATTCTTTAACTGTTTGGAAGCTTCACTATTCCCGAGTGACATAGGCTTAAAATCTTTTTTGAATAAAATTAGGGATCTTTACTAAAACTCCAATAATGTAACCAAAGGTGTAAAAAAATTACCTAAAATATTCTTTACATCGCGTGCCCTGCGAAAACTATTGATGATAGAATAAAATAATGTACTACGACTTTGTAGAACACATTATTACTTAATTAGAAAAAATGTCGCGACAGCATATGTCTAACTATTGTAGTTATGCCGCAATAAGTGTTCTTTTATTTAAAAAAATTAAACAACGTCAAATATAGTTGAAATTTTTGTTAAAGACCCGAGCGGAGCCCGAGCGGGCCGCTAGTGTTCTATAAATTTTCTGTGTGTTTTATATATATTTGGAACAAAAAAACACGTCTAGTTCCAGTTTCTTGTATATTCTTCTCAATGATGAAACTGCATAGATAAAGATATGATGATATAAAAGCGCCTATAAAACTAGTTTGCTTGAATGTAATTTATCTGCATTTTAATTTTAACATTTTTATAGTCAAGAACTTCTATTTGATTTCTAGAAATCATTATAAGGTCAATGGTATTGCCGTTTATATTTTATCAATCGTTGTGAATATTAACTATATATTCCAGTTTAAAATTTGACATAGTATTTTCTGTGGTTTTTGAGAGTCATTTAATTTAACACTAAATTTTATGTTTAATCTTGCCTTTATTCTTTTAATTTAATTATTCCAATGTTTTAAATACTTTACAGTTTTCGTGGACGGAGAGGTTTTGTTGGACATAATGTAATTTAATCTAGACTTCGAATTCAGGTTTCAAGCTGAACGGTGACACTTATATTGGTTTATCTACGGGTTCTAGTAATCACTAAGCACTTAACACTTAGGCAGGCCCAGAAATCTTCAAAAACATTTAAAGAACACTTTATCAAAAATAGTTACATAGATTATAAACTACAAAAACTACTTGGATAATGGCTTTAAAGCAAAATGAATTTAAATTTAAAATTATCATATTTTTAATTCAGGTTATTTCGGTCAGGATATTGACTCGAAGTTAACATAATGATTTTATGTATTATCCTTAGTTCAATGGGACGTAATAAAATTAAATATACCGTTAGATTTTTCATATATGTATAAATTACCTCATCTACATTGCAGTCGAAGCCATGCTCCAATGCTTCGAAATTTAAGTCCTCTACCAAACCAGAATTCAAGGCGCCCATTATCTGTCCCATGACAGTCGTTGGACCCATTCCACCGGCCTGCACCATCATTCCACCATTCATCAAAGCTGGATCCGACGTCGTCACCATTTGAGTTTGCCTATTACCTGCCGATCGAGAAACACTTTTGAGTTCTCCCTTGACCTGAACCATAGAAATGTTATTTTGTTAACGTGATTTTATTTTTATTTTTAAATGCCAAATAAACATATTTAAATAATGTTAATCGCGCGAAACGTCTATAAATTTAAATAGTCGCTAAGAATAAAAATAGATAAATATAATTATTTAAGTACCCGTTTGCATGATATCGGCTTGATCAGCAGACGGCGGTGGCCTGACGAAATGATCCAAGGCATGCTGATGTGGGTGTGTGGGGTGGGCAGGATGGGCAGGATGCGAGTACATAGAGGCACACGTGCAGCCTCCGTGAGGGTGTCTTGGGCAGGTTCCGTAGGATCCATACCGAAAACTACCGCCTGAAGTAGATGACGAGGTCGTTGGCACGTACCTGCAGATTCGAGTGTTAACATAGAAACATTAAGGAATTTACACAGCAAGAATAAATAACAACAAAAATAAAATAGTGTTCACAGCGTGCGACAATGTGCACGATAATTGAATTCGTCGTGGCCTAAAGGATAAGATGTCCGGTGCATTCGTGTCGAGCGATGCACCGGTGTTCGAACCCCAGGCAGGTACCAATTTTTCTAATGAAATACGTACTCAACAAATGTTCACAGTTGACTTCCACGGTGAAGGAATAACATCGTTGGGCAGCCGTTGTAACTGTACTGAGATCTTAGAACTTATGTCTCAAGGTGGGTGGCGCATTTACGTTGTAGATGTCTATGGGCTCCAGTAACCACTTAACACCAGGTGGGCTGTGAGATCATCCACCCATCTAAGCAATAAAAAAAATTAAAAAAAATGTGTCACATCACGTCTTGGAGATCACAGATATCGTCTTTATTGATGTTCTTCTGTCAAACAATATAACTCTGATACATATACCGATGATTTTGATTTACTAATGTTGATTGACAACGGCAGACGAGAATACGGGCCACCTGATGGTGAATGATTATCGTCGCCCATGGTCTTCAACAATGCCAGGGGCAGAGCCAAGTCGCTGCCTATCATTAAAAAGACATACCTCACCTCATACGTTGGCCATTTTTAAAAGCAGCATAATTATAATTCTACGTCTAGTCTATTAAAAGCCGCTTTCTATTTAATGTAGTTAAAGCAAAATATTCCGGGTTTATTTAAGAAGCCGCTCTGTACCTAAAGCATACTACAAAAATCTTACGGGTTCAGGAATGGATCGGCTCCCTGCAGCTTCATGGAATCGGCCAGCGAACCTGCCAACTGTTCCTCTTGCGTGTAGTCCGCTTGTGAGAAGTCTGTATTGGTGGCGTAGTCATTCGCGTATTCTTGCTTCCAATCTGGTTCTGAAGGGATCATTGAAGGAATTGGAGACAGACGTCCGCAAGATGAAGCGTTTGATGGAGCACGCTGGCGGAAGTCAGGCGACAACTGGAAACTGCTGCTAGCCCAAGCGAACAAGCATAAAACAAATAAAATATCTGTAGACTAGAAAGTACTAAATTCGAAATTAAAATATGTCCCCAACTAAGAATCGAAAGCTGCGGAACTAATACTAAAGCTCAATCTAATGAATTTGCTGTCCAACTTCTATAACAACGTCTAAAGGGAACATGCAAATAAAACTTATGTCGCTCGTTTACATCTAAATTTGTGTGCCAAATGAGGCGCTCACCAAAATGGGGTTCAATGGTCAGCACAGGAAATATCTTTATTATACCAAATGATGACAAAAATGTTCATGAGATATGTATCCCACAGGCCGGACCTTCGGTGATTATCGAACCATTCGAAATATATGACGAAAATGTTCGTAATCCATATAAAATGAATCGGCAATAAAAACATTAAATATGAGCTGAAATGACGAGATTCAGCATCCTCATAACTCATCATCTAATGGTTCTGAATGATTTAAACCTTTTATCATAAAGTGGCAGTGATGCAATAACTCAATTTTATTAGTTCGGTCAACGCAGTTTTGGTCGATGGTTTTATTTTGAGATGAGTTATCCTGCGTGCTTCGATGTTTATAATCGTTCGTACGTTTCTAAGTTACTGTGGCATTAACGTCATTCGGATAGCATTAAATATTTGAAAAAGATTCCTTCCCATTGTAATGTATATGTACGTAAATCACTGCGCATTTAAAGTCAAATTAGTACCACTAAAAGATGCATCCATGGCCGATTATTGGCTTGATGCCATCGCTTGCAGGAATTCGTTTACTCCATAAGGATTACTCCATAAGGAGGGGTTTTTTAAGTTTAAGTAAACAATAAAACTGCTACTCTCTATTACTCTAAATACAGTAGCTACTAAAGAACTATAAATTCATTTTAATCTGTATTGAAATTACCTGTGCATTGGTGAGTCTGTGAATATGTCGATGCTCTCCGATACTGAGCTACTTGGGCTAGGTGTTGCATCAGCTGTGGCTCCATTTCTTAAAGCTTCGGTCTACAAGACGATATATTTTTTTTTATGAGGAATTTTGAATTCGGAAAATAAAAGGTAATATCGATTTAGACTGAGGACATCGATTTTTCTCTCGATGAAATCATCAACACAATCATAAGAGTTGACGTAATCATAGTAGTGCTCCATTTTGTTAGGGTAACGATTCCATTACGTATTAGATGTTTCGAATCGTTATTACCGTGTCATAATATTTACAAAACCTAATGAACAATGTACGTTTTCATAGTTCCCAAGCATACAGTATTTTAAAACTAGGACTAATACGATATTAAAGATTATATTACTAGAATTTAAAACAAAACTAACTAAAGAACACAAATAAAATAAATTTCTAATACAATGATCGCTCGAAATATTTCAAGAACGTTTTAGATTCAAAACAGCTGTTTGATTGTGTCATACAATGAGCGTAAAAAATTAATCATTGTAGAATTATTTCAAACAAAATTTTAAGCCTGATTGAATATTTATATAACGCAAACTAACCGTAAGTTGATCGATAATATGAATAAAGAAAGAAAAGCAATGGACTGAGAGATTGACATTGCTACTAGTATTACTAAAATCAAATCTACTTTGATCCCTATCTTTGAAATAATACCTTTTTCTTTACCCTTCCTCTTCGTTTCTCGAATTTCGAGGTTTCCATCGAAGCGGCTCGCCTCCTGACGGATTTTCCGGGCTTGGCGTCGGGATTGATCATCCACCATGATGACTTGCCAGTACCCTCATTCTGAACTCTCATGAAGCGGTTGTGAAGAGACAGGTTGTGTCTTATCGAATTCTGTAACAAAAACGAAATGCAATATTAAAATAAAATACTCACACATAAATTTTATATCTGAAGATCTTCTCAAAGAAGACTGGTCAAAATTAAAAAAAATAAGGGTATTATGAATTTTTTTTTCCAATTTTCAAATTGTCGTTTACGTGAAGCATAGACAATCATTTCTGCGAAATCTCACTCAGATATTACTTTAGAGTCGATCAGTGCTTCACAGTCGAATCGATAACACTGAACAATGTTATAACTTTCATAAAAGTGTATTAAGTCGTTACAGCTACCGTCCCGCGTGAGGTCGCATACAAATATCACTACTTTGTATAATTCCACCACAAAACGAATGATGAAAACGATGCAGAAGCGATGTTAAAAATAACCCCCATAAACTTTAAACGCGTCGTGCTATATCCGGGCATGGCGACCGCTGACCACAAAAACATATACGAATTTTAATTCCAGCTACTGTTCAAAGTTGGTGCAATAACGCGTCCTATCTCGCACCGACAATAAAATCTCACAACTTTTTCCCGTCAAAGGTATAAAAGCGACCGCAGCAACGAATGAAGTTTTGCTATAAAACAGTCCATAAATAATTTTCTGCTTGCCCCGTGAGAACCGCCACTTACGAGACTGTACACTAGAACGGCTATAAATATGTGGTAGTTGCAAAATGTTTGCGTGAATAGGGCGAACAGAGAAAAAAAAAAGCGCAGCTTAATTTTTTGGTTGCAAAATGAGGAATTCCTTCGCGATTTTCACGCGTAATTTAACAGAACCTCGTCGCTTCAACGTCTCGGGATACGTAAATTTTTCAGATACGTCTATTTACCATGTAAATCATACAAATTTTACGAGAAACTCAGTAAAAACACGACTGTGTTTGCGCGTCTATTCGACACGTTTCGAAACCTTCGCCGCGTATAATTCGCTTTACCGTTTTAGAATGGAAAATTTTAAAACCTATTGGAATTTCAAAATACGAGATATGAATTTCATGGCGTCTCTCAATGTTTTTCCTTTGTATGTTAAAACTTAACTGCGTTTTAGTGTTGCGACATTCAAAGTTTATTAAAGATAGGTAGGATGATGAGTAGGAGGGATTTTATGAAAACTTTTTAAAAAGCATCGTTATTGGTTCAATTAAAAAAAAACTTCAATGCGTCTAATTATATCGTGCAATAATAAAATAATAATTAATTCAGGTCATATTCATTGTAATGACAAGAACTCAATTCAACATAAATTAAATCCAGTTATTAAAAAATTAATATCGCGTCAATAAAAACTGAACTTGCCATTATAAATTCAATTCAAAATTCCGTAATTAAGTTGGCGCTCACAGTAAGTTACTATTGTATCGAATACCTAATTAAGTATTTGTACAACAATTGGCCACGTACATAAATCCGCTGAATGTGGACAAGTCCACGATTTATCAAGCGTGAAAACACACGCAACAAATGGCCCGTCGACGCTTTGATTGATACGTCGCCAAAGGCCCTTACCATGAATTACTTCGGCAATAAAAGTGACAAGTTCGAGTTGTACTTCAAACCGACATGGTTTTCGGATCATTCGCGAATCGCTTAAGCACATTTTTGGAACGAAGTTCTTTATCGCGCGTTGTGAAAGGGGGCTAGACGGAAAAAATTCTTACGAAAAGTTGTCACGACACTTTTTAGATCCGTCATTCTGACCAATCAACGTGTAGGCGCTTATCGCGTGACATTGCTCGTATCCGATTGGTCCGCGTAATGAGTACAGTTTCTCGAGAAAGCGTTTCAACAATAGTAATTTAGTTCATAGTATTGTCTTTTTCTTCTTCATAATGCCGTAATTTATTATTATAACTTAAAAAAAAATTACAATTCCTTCACTAATTAATCGAAAGGAACTTCGTTCCATCCGGGTGTCTCTTGACACCTCTGAAGTTTTTTATTTTAAAATAAATATGCCTATATTAATTTCTTTTTGAAACTAAGATATACCATTTTTAGATACCAAATATATATATTTTTATTACCTAAAATATAATGATATAGGTTTGATTAATTTTACTACAATTTTTTTACGACAAAAGTAATATTTTTTTGGCTCCTATATATCTACGAGTTTCGTCAAAACGAGTAAGTATATCTCAGAAGTTAGTTCGGCGTATTACGTCCTAATTCGACATGGACATTAATACATCCAATAATAATCCGACGAATATAATTTATGGGCACTAAATTATATAGTTGCTGACTGGCAGCTAAACTTAATCGAATTTTCTGCTCCCGTGACGTCACGGCCCATTTTTCGTAATCTACCTGTTTTTTTTTTTTCTGCGCGTATGCGATGCGGTTCATACAGCCGTATTTCTCTACGCTTCGGCGAAGATTGAACGGGTAGAGAAAGCGGTATTTCGTGCTTTCGAAACACGGATATTTAAATTCCTTGAACTGACATAGTTTTTTTTTTCCTTTATGAGGACGACGAGGAAGAAGAGGCACTACAGTAACACACGCTGGGGTTCTCTCCATCATTTAGTCATTTTCTAATCTCATAAAATTTTGGGGAATAGATATCTTTTTTCCGGTGGGAAACGGGACGGGATATTTTTCAAAGCCGACATAAGTCGAGGAAGAAAAACTAATAATAATATGTATTTATTTAAATACGAGTATTTGTATCTATAAATATTATGTATATTATATATACACATTTGTTTAAGTAATATCATTATCACACTAAATCTACCAAGGTTCATCTCTCCCCTCCCTAAGGTTGACTTTCAGAGAATGCCTATGGTATTAAGTCCGTCTTTATACTCTCTAGTATATAAAGTTATAAATAAATAAATTAATTAATAAATAAGTAGTCCAGCTTTGTACATGCATGTCGTTTTATGTTATGAAGGTAAATATAACGTATACTTACTATATTGTTAATTAATCAGTAGTTAAGTAAAAACAATATTTATGTCAGGCTCAATGTTTCGCACGTGCCACACTTCATATTATTTTTGTTTCAAATGATAATAGAATTTAAGACATCCAAACAATTCTACATCTAACCGCAAATTACCAACTAATTTAAAACTATTAATTTACATATATCACAACCGTTACAGAGTCTTATATATTGATGACATTTACAAAAAAAAAATTATAATAATGTTGAGTTTAAGTCTCTATATTAAACACCACTCAATCACAGTTTTTTATCTGACGTTTGTTTTTGTTCGTTCAAATGTGACGGACAAAATTACTGAACCTATGGTAATCATTTTTTTACTTTGAACCTTATGATGAGATTAAAAAAACTATCATAAGTAAAAATTAAAATGTGAATTTTAATTCGCTACGTTGACGTGAGTCAAGTATGTAGAAAAGTCACTTTTTAAAGACTACTCAGTGACAATCTCGGATTGTAACATGGCACTCATATCGTGATGTCTATGGGCTCCTAAAACTACCTTACATCGTGCGCCGTCGTCACTTTTACACTGGTGGTAGCACCTCTTGTGAGTCCGCACGAGTAGGTACCACCGCCCTACTTATTTCTGTCGTGAAGCAGTAATGCGTTTCGGTTTGAAGGGTGAGGCAGCCGTTGTAACTATACCTGGAACCTTAGAACTCTTATATCTCAAGGTGGGTGACCCATTTACGTTATAAATGTCTATGGGCTCTAGTAACCACTTAACACCAGGTGGGATGTGAGCTCGTCCACCCACCGAAGCAATAAAAAAAATGTTATGCTATAAATAAAATTCTATTTGCAAATTATTCGAAAATTACTTGGACGTCTCATCTAGTGCATTTATATCAGAGAAACGGGTCGCGCCCAAACCGGGGCGGCAAGACATCGTACTTAGAATTTTGTCTACGGTAGGATCCGTGGCGCCAATGCGACCCTTATGGGGTGAATTAACAGTCTACGCCGTCTACAGTCCCCTTTAATGCTTCACCGACTTAAATTTTGTCGAATTTCCACCGCCATTATATGGCGTTACGCAATCCAAGAATCGAATGGCTTATGATTTCCGTTGTTTATAGCTCCCGTTGTGTTCTATATTCTATATTCGAGACCTACTGCTGATTTTAGTTTGTTTATTAATTTTTATTTTTGTTCAGCAAAACCAAGCAGTACATTTCTAGCAGCTTAAACGGATTACGTTCGATTTGAATTTTCATTATTTCAAATGATTTGTCCGCGTTTTGTTTTGATCCAACCAAAAAAAAAAACCTAGTTAATAAAACAAATTTTGCACACATTAATTTATGGCATAACAATTCAACGAGAAAATCACAAATACAATTTCGTGCAAAATTTATACTGAATAATAGTAGAATAGTAGAAGAAGAATAGTAGTAATTAAATTTTCGAAGATGGCACAAGACTTCTAACTTAATATGCACTTCTTGCTATCTCTCTCGCACGCCCTGTGGCTTAACGGTTTTTTTATTAATTGCTTAGATTTGTGGACGAGCTCACAGCCCACCTGGTGTTAAGTGGTTACTGGAGCCCATAGACATCTACAACGTAAACGCTCCACCCACCTTGAGATATAAGTTACAACGGCTGCCCCACCCTTCAAACCGAAACGCATTGCTGCTTCACGGCAGAAATAGGCGGGGTGCTGGTACCTGCCCGCGCGGACTCACAAGAGGTCCTACCACCAGTAACAGTATCGTAACGCTGTCAGATTGAAAATATTATTAACTTAATCATATGTGAATGACGAGTAAACTAATGTAGAGTTTGAACCGAATGCGTTCTCGAGTAGTTTGATGCTGTTAAAATGTAAAACTGTTTACATCAGCCAAACATGTATTCGGTCAGATTTCTTTAAGAATAAACGTGGATACGGAACAGTGGAATGGCCGAAGGATTGTTGAATAATTCAGTGCGATTATTCTGTTAGAGTGACATACTTAATGCACACGTGATGGACTTATCTGTGTGCTCTTAAAGTATATTAAAACAATGAATTTGAATTAATATTAATAAAATATATT